CAGCCGAAGCGCACAATATTCAATGGTTGCTCGCTGCAGTGTGCTGGGCCATGAACAGCTCAGTCAACGCCAGCGGCTACTCACCTGCCCAATGGGTTCTTGGACGTGGACTTCGGTTGCCATACTGCCGATTGGACAATGCTGGCCGCCTATCGCTACATGGGCGCATCGTGTCCGCAAGCCCTTCTCCGAGAGGGTAGCCATCATGGAGGCCGCCCAGACCTCCATCCAGCACCTGCGCTTCAACCAGTCTCTATCGAGAGCGCTGCTAGCCCGGTCAAGGGCGGACGGCGCACAGCATGCGCAAGATGTCTATCAGACTGGTGACCAGGTGTACTACTGGCGGGGGAACGGCAAGCCCAAGCGCGAATGGGCTCTCCAGTGGCGCGGGCCAGGCGTCATCATCGGTTTCGAGGGCACATCCAACGTGTGGGTCAGCCACCGATCTACCACGGTGAAGGTCAACCGTGGACACCTACGACATGCCACAGTTTCCGAACTCGCCCCATGGGGTCAAGTCCTAAATGCCATGAACGGCCAGCCACCTCCACCAGCCGGACACCCTCCAGGAGATGCCCCCGACGGGCGCCCCCCTCACGATCACGGAGGAGGTGGAGGAGGACCAGGAGGCGCACCGCCTCCACCGCCGCGCAAGCCAGCGGACGACTCCACCAACGAGGACGTGTTCATGGACCTCACCGGCCCCACACCCCAAAAGCGACCGCGTACAGATGCTGTGCCAGCGCCACCTGCCGCACCGACCTCCCCGCCAATTCCACCTATACCAGTTCCACCAAGTTTCGGCAACATTGCAGATGCGCCAGCTAATCGACGCCAACATGCCTTTCTCGAATGGCTGAGTCGTAAACAAGGTGATGGCGACTTTGTTCCTACTGGAGGAGCCAGTGGAAGCGGTTCGGCACCAGGACCTTCGGGAGGAGACCATCTACTACCTGCTGCCGCTGCGGCCGCAGCTGCGCTCGACCCCGGCCCTGCCGACCAACCTGCCGACCAACCTGCCGACCAACCAGCGCCACATCCGCCGTCACCACCTAAACCCGAACAGCCCGAACATCCTGAACCAACTCCAGCAGCAGAAGACGACCGCGATCGACAGACTCAAGAACCACCAGAACCTCAACAAGAAGGGCCAGTTGATGACGATGGAGAAGTCGAGACCATTAGCTCGGTCGCCGAGTTCACCAACGAGATAGCCGAGAAGATGGAGAGTCAAGTCAAGGAGGAGGTCGAACTACGTCGCCCCCGACATCATGAAGACCCGCGAGGAGCCAAGGCACAACGACGTGATCAACAAGAAGACGCCCCTCAGGCGCTTAGACGCGACCGACACGAACGTGATGATCCTCGAGTTCGAGCCGCCAAGAGAAAGGAGCTGCTGGACGACCTACCGAAGTGCTTCAAGAAGCCCCGCGACACCAACAAGACATATATACGACCTGGACAACTACGTCAAGGCCAACGCAGACGAGATGCAGTTTGCGCCCTCATTACGCGAAGTCTTCCTGACTGGGAAGGCGGCCACCAAGGAGCTGAAGCACGACAACTTCTCCACTAAGGAGAAGAAGCTCATGGATGAGGCAATGAAGGTCGAGTGGTCCAAGTGGACAGAGTTCGGGGCTTACAAGAAGCTGCCGCCGAAGGAGTTGAAGGAGCTCTTTAGGCGAAATCCTGGCATTCGCCCGGCGGGCGCGCGACTGGTGCTCACCAGCAAGGGGCTCAACCTCATGAAGGCCCGCCTCGTAGTTCAAGGGTGCCAGGAGGACAAGTCACAGATCCGCACTGATGCACCTACAGGATCTCGAGACGCCCTTTACCTCACGCTTGCCGCTGCTGCACAATCTGGGTGGGACCTCGCCTCGCATGATGCCATGACGGCATACCTCCAGTCTGGCAACGTCGAGAGGCTCTTACTGCTACGCACGCCTGCGACGAACCCCCCACCGGGTACTTCGCCTGGTGAAATCGTTATGGCGACCGGTGCTATCTATGGCACCCGTGACGCAGGACGGCAGTGGTATCTCTACGCCCAGAAGGTGTTCAAGGACCACGGATTAATCGAGAGCAAGCTCGAGAAGGGTCTCTACTATTTCTACGACTCCAAGGGCCTGGCCGCCGTCGTACATTCCCATGTGGACGACTTCTTGATTGCTCAGCTCAAGGACTCAACAGAATGGAAGCGCATCGTTGATGGCCTTGGGAGGAAGCTGCATCTCAAGAAGGTTGAAGGCATTATCAAATATTGCGGACGTACGATCTCAAAGTCTGACGAAGAGTTTCGCGTCACGCAGGCCACGGCTGCCAAGCAGGTGGACCCTGTCGAGATTTCCTTCGCGAAGGGCCGCGCCCCAGACGACAAGCTGTCCATGGAGGAGGTATCCAGCTATCGACACACCCTGGGTCAAATACTTTGGCTCGCTGTTCAGACGCGAGTCGACATCGCCTGCCCGGTCAGCATGGCTGCCAGGCGCACGAACGTCGCTACCCTTGCCGACGCCAAGACGCTCAACAGGACGGTCAACTACGTTCACGGCTCCCCCGACTTTGCCATCGTGCTGAAGCGCAATCTCATCAACCTGAACACCTGCGCCACCGTTTGTTTCAGCGACGCCGCGTTCGCCAACACCGACGGTGTTAAGAGCCAGTGGGGCATGGCCATGGGCCTTACCCACCGACCTCGAAATGTAGTCGGAGGCCGGTGCGATCTATGTTCACCAGTTGCCTGCCATTCGGGTAGCGTGAAGAGGTCCGTGAAGTCCACGCTGGCCGCGGAGGGTTACGCCACCCTCGAGGGGACCGAAATCAACACATGGTTTCGCCAGCTGCTCACCGAAGCCTACAACCCCAAGACGCCGCTCAAGGAGATCGATGATCTCAGCTTGAAGCGCCCTGGGGAGGTTTACAGCGACAGCAAGGGTCTCGCTACCCACACCCAGTCCGACGTGGGCCAGTCTTCCGACAAGCGTTTCCGCATCGTCGCCTCCATGATCAAGGAGTCCGTGCATCCCAACAGCGAGCTGCGCTTGACCTGCGTTCCTACCTGGAGCATGGTTGCCGACTCGCTCACCAAGGTAATGGAGACCAGCTTGCTGCTCTCCTTCTTCGGCGCCAAGAAGCACAACTTCGGCACCAGGCAGCCCAACGCCGCCATGATCGCCTCCGTGCTTGCCACGTGTATCGGCAAGGTCAAAGGTCAGCCGACTCCTTTGCCCCCACAGCCATTCGACATGAACTACTACTGGTACGCGTGCTACCTGACGTGCTTCTCGATGTTCGTGGGAATGATGGTGGGATTCAGCATCTTCGCCGTTATGTGGCACACGATGGCTCAGAACACCCTGAAGCCATCGCCGCAGGAGGGCAAGGCCGAGGGCGATCGCCACCCAGGCTGGGACGGGAAACGTCTCGGGAGGCGGAACCACGTGCAGCCCGCGATTCCAGAGGAAGAGGACGCTGACGGAGACATCTTCATGCCCGACACCCAGATCGTTGCTGCTGCCGCGGCCCAGAGCAGCTCATCGACAGAGAACGCAGGTCCGGCTCCGAGGCCTTCAACTGCTCCCGCGCCGGCATCGCCGCAGGACAGCTTCGCCCCATCATCGTCACCGAGCACGCCCATGACGATATCCAGATCACCATCGGCAAGCATCGTGTCCTGGAATAACTCCACGCCGACGGTTTCGCCGATGAAGATCAACGAGTGTGCCGTGGCAGGGCACAACACTCGCGTAGGATATAACCCGCACAGCGTTTACGCGACCTGCAGGACATTCAGGCGCCACTCGTCGTGGCTTCGCCGGAACCACAGAGTGCATCAGCCCGACTTCTCGGGCATGCACCACTCGCTGAAGCATGAGCTCCAGAATCGATAAGCTCAGATGATGGGATCCGACGCGCCGAGCCGAACGACGCCGGAGAAGGGGACTACGAAGTCCGAATGAGTTTCCCGCATTCAGTTTGCTTTGCCGCTACCTGGACGCTGCTGCCAGCAGCCGCTTACGGTTATCCGCATTTCGTTTGCTTTCGCCGCCACCCAGACGCTGCTTGCCAGCCGCTCACGTTAGTCTGCATTCAGTGTGTTTTCGCCACCACCCGGACGCTGCTTTCTTTCGCAGCCTGTATGTTTCATAGCGCCTGGCCTGATCAGCCTCTGTGTGTGCTCTGTTTTATGGTGATGACGATCACCAGCCAGATTGCTCTGCTACCAAGGGCTTCATCTTATAACTAAGTAATAAGATCCTAGCCGAGTGCCCGTTGCGCCGAGAATTTATATTTCAGCAGGTGCGTGAAGCAGTACCCGTCAAATCGCCCCAGAGGGCAGCCTGCTAGCATGCCGTGCGAGCCGTTTGCTTGCGATAGATTATCAAGATAATCTGTTCCGTTTGTAATGAAGCTTTTGCGAGTGACTTGTTATAGTCCCCGCTCAGGCGCCCGACAGAGGGTCTGCGCCGACGGCGACTAGGAGGAGTGTGAATCAAGCTCACTCCCAAGGAATGTAAGAGGCCCGAGAGGGTTTCCCCCAGAAGCCTCGAGGGGCCTGTGGTTTCATTCCTTGCTCGCCGCTGCCATTTTTTATTTCGAACTAGGGCCCTTGGCCTTAGAGCTACGCCCCTCGCCGCGCGAGTAAAAGATATCCAGCGATTATCTTCCATATCACACTCGGGAGGATGGGGAAACGAGGAATAGCTCGTCATCTTCTCCTCCAGGGGTTCTCCAGAGGCCACTGCGGAGGCCGGTGGCGAGCTAAGACGATGACCAACAACTTCGTTCCCAACCATCCGACGACGAGAACTTTTACATTGGTGACCCCATGGCTTCCGAAGCCTTCCCTGGGGAACATGTCTTTATCCCGCGCCCATCTGCGATGGCCGCGGATCCCAGGAACGGGCCCCCGGAGGCCGAGACACCGAGGAAGAGCGCCGGGACCGAAAAACTCCGTCGCTCTGGGACCCTCGATCTTCGCCCCTCCTCGGCAGCGGGGCGTCCTTCGGGCCAGAGAACTTGGATCCGCACCACCGCCGGAACATGTTCCAGACCTGCCGCCGGCGCGCCCAGCTCAGACAGCAGCGCGGCGGCGGGCCACGCGCCCACCGCCCACAGTCCCCGTTCACCTCCACATGCGCGCGCATCCTCCTCCACCTCCGCCCCTTCCCCCGCCAGCCCCGCCCTCTCCTCCGCCATCTTCTCCTCCCCCATCCATCTGCGCCTCCTCCTCCACCTCCTCCTCCTCCTCCTCTTTCTCTGCCGCCGCCGCCGCCTTCCTCACCTAGGCTTCTCATTCTCCTCCGCCTTCTCCGCACCCCCCCCCCCGCCCCGTTCCCCCATCTCCGCCACCTCCTCCTTTTAATCCAACCAACCCTTTAGGGCGCAGGTTGCTTCAGGAATAGTTCCTCCGCGCGCCGACATGGCGCCCGCCAGGCTGCCGCAACTTGCGGCCTCCCCACGCGGTCGGGCACCCAGGCTTGGTCCTGCCGCCAGTGCCTCTCCGCGGGCCCAGCTTTTTTGCCGGCTGCCGTCCAACCTGGACTGCACATGCACTTGCCGTGCCTTGTCGCGTGCCACCCACCTGGGCGGCCCGCGGCCCACGCCCGTTGACCTAGCACCTCGTGTGCCACTTCGACGGCGTCACTGCTTCGCCGACTTGCCTTGCTCGCACTGGGCCCCCTTAGCGCCCGTGGGCACCTCGGCGCCGCGGCCCGCCAGCTGCCAGGATCCCCGCCGACGGGGCTGGCCGCGTCAGCACATCCAGGTGCGAACTCTTCCACCTCTGAGTGGCCTCTTCTTCGCCGTCCCCCCCCGCGGCCGCCTGCCTTCCCTCTTCCCACTCCTGCTTGCTGGTTGATTCGCTCTTCGGTGCCCCCGTCTAGCTCTTTCGCTGGTGCAGCCAACTCTGCCTCGCCGCCGACGGAAAAAAAACAATGGTTTAAGGAATTGTGTCTTCTCTCCCCTCCTTCCCCAGCTCGGTGGAAGGGTTCATCACTGTTCCCTATTGATATGATACCCCAGGCGGCAGGTAGCCAACCAGGAACAATGCCGACCCCATGCTCACACACCCCGAACCATCCCTGTCAACAAACATGCAGAACGCACTCTGCCTCTAAATTCTGAGCATGCACAACCAACCCGATGCGACCACCCCCCGCCACCCCTGCCAAACAAGAATATAACATACAATTTGGGGCAAAGTCTTGAGTCATATTCGTGAGGCCCGCGAGCACTTTGTTTTGCTTTTTTGACAGGGACGGAGGGGGGGTCAGCATATTGCTTGCTGTGCGCAGGGCGACCATCCATGATAAAACATAGAAGATGCAGCTCGCGGTCAAATCTGAATCGTGTGCGGCCACCCCGCGATCACTGTCACGTGTTTTGAAAGGGACCGCGGGGGGGTGGCGTATGGCCTGCCGTGCGCGGGACCGCGACATGGATGGTGGGGGCCGACATGTTTCCCGATGTGTGCTGTCACGGTCGCAGGCGCACCTGACACACTCTGCACGTGCCACGAACGTGGCGCACCTGGCGCGGCTGGAGTATGCGGCACACCTGGCGCACGCGAAGCACGTGGCGCATCTGGCGCACCAGGCGTGCCTGGCACGCTTGGGCCCCAGGGGTGCCTGGCGCGCGTGGCGCGCCTCGCACGCGTGGCTTACCTCGCCCAAGCGTCGCGCGCACATGGGGTCGGTTTTGGTTCCCATTAGCTGCCCATGCAAAGACGACTGAGGCGCGGGTGTTACCTCTGTGTTGGGAAGGCGGGTGGGAGTGAGCTAGACGGCTTGCTATCTAGGAGGGCGAATTGGCCCCTCACCCTACTCCCCCCCGCCCTTGGCCTGGGAAAGGTGGGAACGGGTGGCTACAACTTCAAGATGGGCCCAAGATGGCTCCAAGAGGGCCCTACAACCCAATACGGCCTCCAAGATGGCTCAATATAGCCGAGGATGGTTCAAGATAGCCTTCTACGTACCTCCAGGTAACCCCAACACAGCTGCAACGCGGTTCCACGTGCTTTTGGAGCCTGCCTCGGCACCCTCTTAGGCCAAACTCCTTCAACCACCTAGGGAAACGCAATGGTGTTTGCCCTCTCGCGTTTTCGCTTCGGATGGGCTTCTGAGGCATCAAGATGGCCCCGAGACGGCCTGAGATAATCCCAAGAGGGGCCCAACAGCACCCCACGAGGCCCCACGAGAGCCCAAAAGCGCTCCAGGAGTGGCCCAGGAGGGCCCCAAGGCGCCACTAGGAGTCTACAAGTGGGGAGGGGGGACCCGAATTGCCCCCCCCCACACCTCTGTTTGAGCCACGGGGCCCAAGAGGCCTCCCAGATCCCTCCCATGAGCCCCAAGAGAGCACCCACACCCCCCAAACTGAGCCCCAAGGTGGCCCCAAGAGTGCCCCACGAGGCCCCGCGGGACCCAACGAGACCCCTCAAGATGGCCTTAGTCGTCCATCGAGAACCTCACACAACAACATCTATCCAACGCCAGAATTCTCAATCCTCCGTGTCATCGTCTGTTCTTTCCCTCCTCGTGTCCTGCCTCCTCCCTCCTCCTCCTGGTCCTCCTCCTCCTGCTCCCTCCTCCTCCTCCCTCCTCCTCCTCCTCCGCCTCCTCCTCCTCCTCCTCATCCTCATCCTCCTCCTCCTCCGTCTCATCATCATCGTAATCATCACACTCATCAGCATCAGCCTTAGCATCATCGCCATCATCATCAGCATCATCATCATCGTCAGCATCAGCATCAGCATCAGCATCATCATCATCATCATCATAATCATCATCATCTTCATCATCATCATTACCAAAATCCTCATCATCAACATTATCATCATCATCACACTCCTCGTCATCGTCATCGTCATCATCATCAGCAGCATCATCAGCAACACCATTACCATCATTACCAGCATTCACCACCACCACCAACACCACCATCATAATCAGCAGCATCATCATGATTCGCCACCACCACCATCTCCATAGTCAGCATTATCAGCATCATCATCATTACCATCATCACTCACCACCACCACCACCACCATCATCATCATCATCATCATCATCACCATCATCAGCGTCAGCATCAACATCATCATCATCACCATCATCATCATCATCATCATCATCACCGTCGTCACCATCACCATTATAATCACGAGCATCACTAGCACAATCATCATCATCGTCATCATCGTCAGTATCATCATCATCGTCGTCCTGTCTGACCCTCTGCCCCACTCGTTCCCCAAGCTCTCGTCCTCCTTCGCCTCCCTTTCCCCCCTGCTCGGGTGGGCGGCCGGCCGGCAGAGAGCGCTGGGGTAGCCAGAGCGCGTCAGGTCAGGGGCAGTCGTTGCCAGCAGGTGGGGAGGAACAACAACGCAACATAACATCACCCGGGACAGGCCACGCAAAAGGACACACCAAACAAAACACAGGGGTCACACATTGACGCTGCTAGGCAATGGAGTGAGAGCGAGGCTCTGGTCCGTCGCCTGTAGGCCAGATCCTGTCTCGTGGACTGGACCTAGGCGTTCAAGCCCCCACGGGGGGGGGCGCACACGCGTGGTTCAGGAGATTCGCAGCTGGGATTGCAGTTCGAAGAGGAGAGCCGAAGAGGCAAATCATCATCATCATCATCATCATCATCATCATCATCATCATCATAATCAGAATCAACATCATCATCTCCCTCATCCTGATCATCATCAGCATCAGCATAATCAGCAGCTTCATCATCAGCATCAGCAGCATCAGCACCATCGGCATTCACATCATTCTCATCCTGATCCTCATCAGCATCCTCCTCCTTATCATCATAATCAGTTTCATCAGGACCATCAGCACTATCATCAAATCATCATCATCACCATTATCATCCTCACCCTCAGCATCCTCATCATCAGCATCAACATCAGCATCGTGTCGCATTCCTCCTTCTCCTCCTCTTATTCACAGTCCTCCTCTTCCTCCTCCTCCTTCTCTGTTTCCACCTCCTCCTCTTCCACATATGTTCCTTCTACCCCCTGGATGGTCCCAGAAGGTCGAGCATGGCTCAATATAGCCTTCGACAGACCTCCGAGGGGCACCTAAGAGTGCCTCAAGATGGCCCAAGACAACTAAGCATGGCTCAGGATAGCCTCCGACTCCTCTAAGCGAGCATGGCTCAAGACTGCCTCCAAGAGGCCTCAAGCAAACCTCTGTTCGTGTCTGGATGGGTTGGTGGGGGGACTTGTTCCGTCGCGGCCACAGGCGAAGGCGCCCGCAGCGGGTCGAGCCAGCTCGGGCTACGAACGAACCTAATTGCCGGCGCGCGCGCAGAGGAAAGCAAACCTACTGCCGGGGGAAGCCGCAGCGCTGGGGCCGTGCTGCAGCTGCGCCGTGGGCCGTGCTGCAACCGCCAAGGCTGAGAAACAGCGCCGAGGATGGGGACTGCAAGCTGCTGGGGCTGCCAGGAAGCTGCAAACGTGCGGGTACCATGGGAGCTGAAACGCCAGGTACGTGAATTGGACCTTGTCGCTACAGGGCGCCAGAGGTCTGGGCAGCGGGCCGACGGGTGACCCGCCTGGTCGTTCAAGAAGGCTGAACCACTCCTGAGTGAACCGGCGGACCAGAATCCCATAGGGCCAGCTGGCAGAGAACCAGAAGCCAGGGAGGTGCAAGCATACGAGCCGGAACAAGATCTGGTGGGGAGATTTGTTTTTCGGTCGCGTCCACCAGCGAAGGCGCTAGCGGAGTCAGGAGCGCTACGGGTCACGAAAGCGGCCTGATTAGCAACTAAACGCGCCGCAAGCCGGTCGGCCCACTCACCCAGCATCGGCTGACTGCGCGGGGGGAACGGCGATCTGGGGGCGTCCAGGAAGCTCGGGCACTTGCACTCTGGTGGGGGGACTTTTTTGGTCGGCGGCTCCAGGACTAATGTCAAGAAGCGGGGCAACGTTCGGGTCGCAAACCGGTGGGGAGACGCGAAGCGTCAAGAATTCTGTTTCCGACTCCTCCTCCAAGCCCGGCTCCGTCTCCGCCTCCTCCACCGCCTCCCCCTCCCCCCGCCGCCCCCCGACGGCGGCGTCGACGCCGCCGCCCTTCCTGATCGCCTCGGCTCTGGGCCAGCGGTCCCTCCCCGGCGCCCCCCCCCCGTAATAACCCCCACCAGCCGCCTGCGAGGCCCTCGCGTGGCGAGGGGGGCTCTCCGCCAACGCCGACCCCCGCCCCTGCCCTCCCAGAGTGCCTGCGACACATCATGCGGCCCTCGCATCCTCCTCCTCCTCCTCCTCCTCCTCCTCCTCCTCCGCCTCCTCCTCCTCCTCCCCCTCCTCACCCTCGCCCTCCTCCTGCTCCCCCTCCTCCGCCTCCTCCTCCTCCTCCACCTCCTCCTCACCCTCGCCCTCTTCTAGCCAGCGGCCGCAAGAGGGTCAGACGGCGGCCGCGAAGCGGCGGGGTGCGCTGGAGCACAGCGAGGCACAAGGAATGGGGCACGCGCGAGTCGGGGGACGGCCAGAGGAGCCGAAGGGGCGAGGGAACCGCACTCAGGCCATGCAGGTCGTCGTGTGCGTGCCGAGGTCAGAGCCTGGAGCACACACCCACACACACACACGTGGATGTATCCACGTTTGGAGTGGAGGCCGCGCGCTCGTAGTACGCTTGCGGACGGGCGGGCGGTCCCGCCCATTGAAGGGCCGAGCGCTGATACGATATGAACGACGAAAAGCATCGGGCCCCACGCAAGATGCCACGACCTCACGCGGCGGCTTCCGGAGGCCGCCAGCGCGGAACGCTACACGGGAGGCGAGGGCGCTGACTCGCGTCCTTACGCGGGCAGCTCACGCGCCAATGTCGGCGCTGACGACCCCATTCTCTTGCGTCGCTCACGTGCGCATCCAGTTCTCGCCCGGGCCGGTCGCATCATGTGTCTTTGACCTGCTGGCAAAACCCTCCAGACCTATTGGTGACAGACCTATCGGGACTGCCTGAAACCTCGACAACCATATGCTCACCCGTCGGTCGGAAGAAGTAGGTGGAACCATGAAGTAGGAAGGCGGATGGGGTTCGGGCCCGCCCAAAGGAGAACAGGAGGCATCAAACACGGATCGACTCTTGAAGTCGGAGGGCGCTTGCGGTAGATTGGGATCTGGGCCCCCAGAAATACCTAAACAACGACCGACCTCTACGCTCGGGGAGGTGTTGGTGCTGCTTCTGCGCCCTCCTGGAACGTCGGGGCCGCTGGCGGTGACCCCAGGCCCTCCGCCCTCTGCCGCCGCCGGGCTCCCGGACCCCCGGCGCCACGGCGGCCCCGCTTTCCCTCACACCCGCCACGAAGGACCTGCCGTCGCTCGGACGTCCTTTCCCCGTGCATTTTTCGGTTTCGTGCGCGCTTCTCGACGACCCAGGAGGTTCCTCGATGGTCCACGATGACCCAGGATAGTCCTTGATTCGCAAAGGTGGGGCCTCGGGGGGCGCGGATCCTGGACCCCTGGGGGCTCTCCCAGGAGGGGGAGGAGGAGGAGGAGGAGGAGGAGGAGGAGGAGGAGGAGGAGGAGGAGGAGGAGGAGGAGGAGGAGGGGGGGAGGGGGAGGAGGGGGAGGAGGAGGAGGAGGAGGAGGAGAGGAGGAGGAGGAGGAGGAGGAGGAGGAGGGGAGGAGGAGGAGGAGGAGGAGGAGGAGGAGGAGGAGGAGGAGGACCAACTCTTCATCCCGAGCCGTCTCCTGACGGTCCTGGGGCCTGCGGGAGGCCCCCCGGGGCCCGAGGGGACCCCTCTCCCCCAGGACGCGTTCTTGAGGAGAGCAGCTGTCGTGCTGGGAGGAAGGGGTTGGGAGGATGAAGGCTATGAGCAATAGTTAGGAGCCGGGTGCAAGGAACGATGCCTTCGGCCGCCCACGGGCAAAGATCTCCGCACTTCTCCCAACCAGATCCTCCCGCCCAGAGAATTGCCTTCCTGAGCTCTGTCCTCATGCTCACAGGTTGGTCCTCCGGAGGCCGTTTCTGGGCCCGGCGGGGCCGCCGAGAGACGATCCGGGAAGAGACACAGGGAATCTCCGAGAGCCAGCGGGTCTGGAGGACGCACCGGGCGCGGCGACCGTTCCAGAACGATCCAGACCGCTCTGAGGTTTTGAGGGCGTTCCAGGTCGTTGAGGTGCGATGTGTGCGTGCCCAGGCTGCCCGGCGCGTCCCCATCCAGGGCTTTGGCCTCCAGGGGCGAGGCCACTGTCTGAGGCGGAATCCTCCGAGCCCTGTGTGACCACGGAGCCGGGGTGGGACGAGAGAGCCCCAGCGCTGAAGGCACGGGCCGTCACCTGGCCATCGCTCGGACGTCCATTCCCTGTATTTTTGCTCGGTTTCGTGCGTGGTTTTTCCGCCAAATGATCAAGGATGCTCCTCGATGGCCCTCGCCGACGGAAGAATGCACACGTCCGAGCGATGCCAAGTCACCGCCAGACTCACGGGGCCCCTGGACGTCCGATGCTGCAGCTCGTTCCGTGGCGTGGGCCCCCGGAGCTCCCGCCGGGCCCAGCCGCAGCTCGCCCGAGAGCCGCGGGTCGCCCTCGGAGGCCGAGGCGGCGAAACGGATGCGACGTGCGACGTGCTCCTTCGCGACGCCTCCGCGGAAAGGCGGGACCTCACTGCTGCGGCGCTCGCTCTCGACGCACGCCTCCAGTGTCCACCGCTTAACACCACCGCCCCTTGCCGGCGGCCCGCCGCCCAGATGGAGCCGAGGCGGCAAACATCTCCGCGGTCCCCAACCTACCGCGCGAAGGTTGAGTGGAACACTCTGACTCTGGAGTAGCCCCACAAAACAAATGCACTCGTCTGAAACCGCGTTGTGGAAGTACCCCAGTGGAGGTCCCGCACGTACCTGTCTCCTCCTCTGGCAGGATCAGTCGGCATCGCATCGGGAAATTGGATCGGCTCGGAGCTTGCGTCGGATCGGTCTCCACCGGTACGAAGTCGAGATCGAGCTGGATCCGCTGCGCGCACAACTGCGCCTTCTCAGCACCGGCGAGCGCATCGGATCACTGGAACGTCGCAGCCGGATGAGATCGAGCCCTGCGAGCCTGAAACCGACTCGGCTCGATCGAACTGGAATGGGCCCCGTTCTGTGGGGTCGTGGCGCCAAGTGGCAGGCGACGCGGCCTGCGCGGAGTCTGCATCGATCTCGTCGAACGTGATCTCGCCTGGCGCGGGCGGAGCGCGCTGCGGGACGGTGCCGCCCGCCCGCTGCCCTCTTGCCCGTCTTCCCCTCGTCTCACCCTTCCTGGGCGCCCTCCGCTCCTCGTCGTCCTCCCCGCCCGCAGCCAGAGCTAAGACAATGAAGAGCGACAGGAGGGACACCCTGGCCTCACCTCTCCCTCTCCCCGCCCTCAGGAGGAGGGCAAGCCCAACCAGAACGGAGAGAAGAAGGCGGTGCGGGCCCGAATGCTCGGTGGGGGCTCTTCCTCAGGTGCCGCAGCCAGACCTGGGGACGCCCCTCCTTCTTGGCTTGGCATGCGGGGAATGGGTCCTGGTGGGAAGGTGTCCTGGACAGCCGTGGCCGCCCCCCAGACCAACCTTGGGCGCCCGAATTATCCGGGGTAACTCGGGTCCGGGGTAAGTCGGGTTCGGAATCCCGGAAAAGGAACCCGAGTTAGCACTGACCCGAGTTACCCCTGATGATGTGGGGCTCTGGACGCCCGAATTATCCAGGGTAACTCGGGTCCGGGGTAAGTCGGGTTCGGAATCCCGAAAAGCAAACCCGAGTTGGCCCCGACCCGAGTTACCCCTGATGATTCGGGGCTCTGACCAGCGTTCCATTGTTCGACAGCCCCGTTCCTGCGGAAGCCCCCCACGACACAGAAGACGCTGCAGATCGTGGGGCGCCTTCCCTTCAGGGACCCACTGTCCTTCACGGCTTTCCCGAAGGATCGCCCCACCCAGGACCTCCCCCTTGGGGTGCGCTTTGGCAGGAGCCGCAAGAAAAATCCAGGCGTGGCGACAAGAAGAACGCCAGAGTTCTCAACAACAACAAAAACAACAACACAAACAGCAACAATAACAAACACAACACAACTAACAACAGCAACAGCAACAACAACAATGACAACAGCAACAACGACAACAACAACACTAACCACAACAACGACAGCAACAACAGCAACAACAACAACAGCAACAACACCAGCAACAGCAACAGCGCCGACCCTCAAGGGAACATCCAAGGGTCCCGATCCTCGATCATGTATTCTGGGCCGCTGTAGATCCTCCCTTCTCCTGCTTCGCTGGAGGCCTCTCAATTGGAGTCCGAGCAGATGGGGGCTGGATGATCGCGCCACACAGCAAATTCAGCACCGAGGATACACGAGCCAGCAAACAAACCAGGGAACCAACCACCCGAATCTGTACAAGCACTATGTGTATATAGACAGAATATAACTATACATATATCGTAAGATAAAGTGAGGCATGATCAACCATATGAATGCACAACCAATCAGGATCACATGCTGAGAATGGGCTAGAAGCTCCCGTCGGGGGAGAAATGTGCTTCGTGACGCTGCGCGAAAACAAAACATGAGCAACAACTGATGACGATCTCAAGTTACGAAGTACTGCATGGTGCATCCTCGAGGAGGGATGCGAAACAGAGGGACATGACATGGGCCATGCACATGTCATGTATGAATATACATATCTATGAAATGCCAATTTTATGTGTATATGTGTATACACCTATAAATCTATGTACGCACGCCGGCTTTACATATTCATATACATTGCCAAAGGCGCAGGGTACGGAATACATGAACGAGGAAAGACATGACTGACGGACAGAGAGCGGGCCTGATCCATCGATGTCAACCTCCCTCCAAAGACGCTTAATGTCTCCAACGTCCGCAAAGCAATCGCATTCGATGCTGAAGGCAGCATGGGTGCCCTAGGCAGGACCGTCTGGAAGGGAAGCCTTGCGCCACCTTGACTGGAAGAGGTGTGTAGCGACATGTGCCGAAGCCTGTGAGCCAACGGGCATCGAGTAATAGAACACGTGTACTGCAAATGAGGATGACAACGACGAAGACGAAACAGAGAAACTCAATAAACGGACGAAGACGAGGAAAAAGAGAAACATTGTTGGAACACCACAGGGAATAATGAGGACGTTCGATGACGACACATAGGGCAGCGGACGACTCACAGAAGGAGGCAGCGGGGGAGAAGGGGAAAAGGAGGACACGATGAATAAATGAAAGGGGATGAGTGCATGATGAGGAAGATAGCGGCGGGAGGGCCCGGGGGGGGCATTGAGCTGTCATGGGATGGGCGCAAATAAAATGGGCGTCTCGAATTAGTCGAACGCCCACTCTAAGCTTCAAGAGAAGGGAAACGGCGAAGGAAAAAGGAGGGGTGGTGATACTGGAGAGGGACGGGAAGGATAAGGAGGTGGACGAGGGAGGGCGAGGAGATGGACGGGTGGGGAGAAGTAGGAGGAGGAGGAGGAGCAAGAAGAGGATGAGGAGCATGCGGATTTAAACCACGGGGCACGGATCATGAGGGGATGAGGTACTAGCATACGGGGTGGGGATGCGGAAGACTGAGGAAAACGGCGGCGTATGCCGAGAGACGGCAAGCAGAAGAGGACAATGAGGGAAGATAGTAGAAGATGATGGGAGGAATGATGAGGATACGGCGCCAGCGCTTCCTGCGTCGAAATGGAAACACCACCCGAAGGCCCAGCCAAGGGAGCAGCATCATCAGCGAAACAGTGTAAACACGCGGGGTCGCGCTCGATGACGAAAGTCCGCAAGGGGGAACACCGTTCGAATATCGCGTCATCGGTGCGTGGCAAGCCCCCCATGCGTCACCTACATGCCGAACGGCCTGTGTACCGAAAGGGGCTGGATCATGTTCCTGAACGGCCCTTGTTTTTTTTTCTCTTGAAGTCACGCGCGCATCTTGGAAGAGCCGCTTTGCCTACACGCTAGCCGCGCCTTGCATTTGATCCCGCGCCGTGCCTGGGGCCGAAAAGAATTGTCGCCTGGCGCTGGGCGGGCGGGGAGGAAGGCGGGTGCGCTCCCCGAGGGACCTGCCGCGCGCGCCGGTGCGATCGATCAAACGGCCCATGGTTTGTGACCTGGCAGGCAGGGCCACGCCGTCGGATAAAGGGCCCCAGGGAAGGCGAGCTCTGCCGGAAGAGCGCGCACACGGACAACGCCGCGGCCAAGGCGCGCTGAAGCGCGCTTTTGCCCGCGGACCTCCAAGACCTGCCTGCGTCGCGACGCGCGGCGCGCCGGGCGCCTGGTGTTTGCCGCGCGCGGCGTCGCGAACGCCGGGGACCGAATTTGTCTCGAGGCTGCCCTCGGGCGCCCAAGTTGCACAAGCGGCCAGCACATCGCCTGACAACGGCAAGCGTCGGAGCCTGGCAAAGCGAGACTGACAACCGTATCACATCGCTTATATACATATAAATCAAACTCATGAAGATGGTAATCACGATTCCGTGCAAATCTGCAGATTTACCCTTGCACCCAAAACGGAGGCGGGCGATGGCGAGACTGCTAAATACAAAAAAGGCGGAATAAAGATCCGAGGAGGGGGAACACGGGAAAACAAATGCTCGTCAGCGTTGACCTCAAAAAGGAAGGGGTTCTTGACATCTCGATCTGGGAGATGCTTTGTGTCGTCTGTTTAAGGTGCAACGTTTGCATTGCAGTCTAAACGCTGCAGCACCTGCGATGCACTTAAGTGGTTGCACAGCATGTTTCTGTGTATTTCTCATCATGCACATAAACGTATTGACATGTGTGTGGTGCAGTCTACGCGATGCAACCTACAGGACACTTTTTTGTGTTTGTCATACACGGGGGGAGCAACACATCGGGTTTTTACTGCACAAGGCCGTGGAATAGACAGAATGGCATCGCTCGCGCGCGCGCCAGAGTACTTATGATGTTTTAACACAGGCCCGGATGCTGGTCAAAACTCGCCCGTGCGCGGGCTATGCGACAACATGGTCGCGCACTGCCACCGGTGAACCATGGCGCGCGCGCGTCGGAATATCAAGGATGTTTAAAGACATGCCCGCGCGCGGAAGAGATGGCGCCCTGGTCACGCAATGCACAAGGCGACTCAGGAAGATTTCAGCGAAACGCTACGCGAACACTTTGGCAGCGCCAACTTATTCGAGAATTTCGACTAACAGGCGATTGAACCCAAGCGCGTTCTACGCGAAAACGCGGGGCGCGGGCGGATATGCGAGTGCGCATCGACGGGCAGATCACTTCAGGATGTGGGCGCTTAGACAAATACTCCAGCATCGACTTACACTCAGACGCGGGTGGTTGATGTAAGACGCAATCGTGCATCAGGAGGGACAACACTGTCGCAGAATAGGATAATGATGCCCTGGGACACGCGCGCGCGGGAATATATCGGAATAGTATATTCTCGTCGACTAAGTAAAATCATCTCTCGCGCGCGCAAGCCCTGCATTAAAACCACCCCCCTGTATATGGTGTTACCTATGCGATGCAAGTTATGAGGTGCAAGCCATGCTGCGCAATATTTGTGTTTCAAGCTGTTGGTTTCAACCCATGGGCTGCAGGCAATGTGCGGCAAACTACGCAGTGCAAGAATATTGGCTCAACTCAGATTGGACACATTGACGTCGTCACTCCGATGCTTGAGCAAACATCCCACCCAGCCACCCGCAAGGTGTTGGCAACATCCAACGGTGCAAGGACGCGAGGACCCTTCTCATGCAGCGCTGCATTGCTCGGGCTGGCGGGTGATGATGATTATGAGGACATCGTCCACGGCGAGAAGACGCTGGTGGTGGTGTTGGTGACGAGGTCGACGACAAAGACGATGATTCTGATGATGACAGCGGTGGTACTGATGACGGCAATTATGTCGCCGATAATGATGATGGCGGACATGCCAACGGTGGCAATGATGACGCTGGCGATGATGATGGCGATTGTGCTGCTGATGATGACGGGGATGCGCACACGCACAGAACACCTGACAAGCTCAAAACCACTTTTTTCCAATGAATTCGAAGTGCGCGCGGGGAAACATGCGTGGTCCGCATTCTATGTTTTGACTGGATTGGCAGGTGTGCGATGACTGCTTGGTGGTTTTGACATGCACGCGCGTGAGGCCCGCATGTCTTCATGTGAGACGATGGCCTTGCAATTCTGCTTTTGTAGCGCAATGTCAAACTCGTGGCGCGCAGAAGTATGTCGTTATCCTGTACTACATATGAGCAAAGATGCTTGGCAACGTTCGAATCAACAGCACTGTTATGCATTATATTGGCCTGGCATTGCTTCGCACGGAAACATTGGACTGGCATTTGTAAAATCGTGTCGGGCAGCCCGCATGGTATCCTTCGACAACGATAGGGGTGGGGTGAAAAATGGGCCTGGCTGGGATGGCTGCCGCAGGATGGACGAACTTGCAGAATAAGTATTCAACGCCATTGCGCAGAGGTGAAGCATTCAGTCCGGCCTCGGCGTTGGGGGTGACGCCCAATGTTCTTTCGATAGGGCGATATGTGTGGGCATCTTGAGCAGGGACCGACCGTCCCGGCATTCCTAAGGAGTCCCACCACGATTTGTTTTAGAACCCCCCAAAATGTTCTAAGGACAAGAACAATGTGCTTCGAACCTTAACCGATGTGTTTAAGCAAGACAGTCTCAATCAGAACTGTTCTGAGAACATGTCGCGCAAACCACGAACAGTTCTTAGAACATTTTTTGGTGGGCCTATAATTCGGCGAGCTGGGACGCTTCGCCACTGCTTGAGCATCTGGAGGTTCCAGACAGCGGAACGAGGCACCTACAAATAAGTCGGGCGTGTCCCCCTACAGGGGGATTTTCGACGAAAGATAAACAAAAACCCAAACATGCGCCAACATATTCAAACCATGCACACAACATAGTTCCCCAAATATTTTTGACTGTCTTTGAATATTCCTCCTGCGGAGGGACAAGCTCGACTTCATGCCAGACAGCGGAACGAGGCACCTACAGCAAGTCGGGCGTGTCCCCCTGCAGGGAGAGTTTCGACTAAAAAGGAAAAATACCCCAAACATGCGCCAAGATATGCAAAAAATGCTCAAACAATTGTCCCCAGACTATGTTTTTACCATCTTTGAATATGTCTCCTGTGGAGGGACAAGCCCGACGTAATGCCAGACCGCGGAACGAGGCACCTGCAGCGGACCCGCGGGGATCCCAGCGAGCGCACTCGCCATCGCTCGGACGTCCATTCCCTGTGTTTTTTTTCGGTTTCGTGCGTGGTTGTTTCGCCAAATGATCAAGGATGCTCCTCGATGGTCCTCGCCGAAGGAAAATACACACGTTCGAGCGATGCCAGGCGCACGGCGCGCCCAGCAGGCGCCGACAGGCAGGGAACCCCCCACCAACGCACGAGGCGCCCACCGCTTGCCGTCGCTCGGACGTCCACTTCCCGTGCCATTTGTCGGTCTCGTGCGTGTTTTGTTTGCTCGATGGTCCAGGGTGGTCCTTGTAGAGGAAGGAGAACTATGCACATACACCGACTCTGGCCCGGCCCATCCTGAGCCCAGGATCGGTGCATACGCCCTCTTACCTTGGCCAGGAAGGTATATGCACCGATCCTGGGTCAAGGATGGACGTTGTCAGGATCGGTGCATGTGCATAGTTCTCTTCGCCCGACCTCGATAGTTCTCGCCGAGAAAAAATGCACGCGTCCGAGCGATGCCAAAACCGATGAAGCACCGGGTGAAGACATGGGAGTCGTTCTGGGAACCCGGCCCGATTGCTCAATTGAAGAAGTAATCTAATCGCCCCTAGTGCAAACACCGGTTGGGGAGAAAGAGGATCATGTGATGATGATGCTGATGATGATGGTGATGGGGACGACTTGGGGAGGCAAGCGAGGAAAAGGAGCAAGCGGAAGAGGGGGGGGAACCGAGGAGAAGGATGAGGGCGACAACGATGGAGGGGTGAATGGGATAAGGATGAGGAGGGGACGGGGGAGCATGATGAGGCGCGACGAGGGGGGATGAGGAGGGAGGAGGATAGATGGGAAGAGAGGATGAGGACAAGCTAGGTGCACTCGCGCCACATCTGACATCCCATCCCTCCAACCCATCCCTTTCCATGGAAGTGCTGTTTTCAAAATCTGCCGACGGGTGTCATAGCGGAGTTGGAACCAACAACAACAAACATTGTGTCATGCGGAATCGCCGAAGGGGAGCTGCGGACAGAGGAGGAGGTGGCGGATGAGCAGGAGGATGAGCAGGAGGAAAACGGCGAGGTGGAAGGAAGAGGATGATGACGAACAGCAGCAGCAAGAGCTGGAGTGGAAGGAGCGGGAGGAGCAGGGGTGCCAGGGGAAGGCAGAGGAGGAGAGGAGCGGGCCGACAACGAGGAGGGACTCGGATCCAGAAACGCGGCCCGCGCTGCGGCAAGGGCGCCATTCCGAGCGACGGGAGCAGAGCGCCGATCGTACAGTGAGGCTGACGTTGCAGCGGGAACATCCGTTGGAGGAACAGACGAAATCCGACTGAACAGAAAATGAAAGATCAGCTTTTGAAACCCAATTCTTCACTCCAAAGGGTTCACGGAGGGGGGCGGGCCGCTCCCCGGAAATCTCCGGGGGAGATAGGAGACCAGTACCTATATTGAGTAATCGTGGAGGAGGTTCCTCCACGATTACTCAATATATGTACTGCTCTCCTCGTCCCGAACGAGGAGAGGGTCGAGGGGACAAAGGGGAGGCGCAGAGGAGGGAGAGGAGGACGGCGCGGATAAGGAGGAGCAAAGAGGTGGAATGAGGAGGAGGAGGGGGGAGGAATGGGACCGGGGGGGGTGGGGGACAGGTGACGGCAAGTGGCTGGGAGCTCTGGGGGCCGCCGGAGCATGTTCCAACATATTAGAAACACACCTCTCATGCTCGTCCTGGCACAGTGCTTCGTGAGCAGCTCAGCTCGGAGGGAGGCAGCTACGACTCTTGACGCCTGGTTCAGCAGTCGGCCCAACCTGCACACTTCACAAAGTCTGTCACGTGATTCATTGCTTGAGCAATTCCTGAAGGTGGTCGTGCACCGTCGGATTGCGAATTACCATGGCGCCAGCCCGCTGGATAGTTCAGGCGCTGCAAGCCAGAATAAAACTCCTCGTAGTCTATCTTCCCGTTTCCTGGCAGCAGGCTGCGCAAGTAAAAGTCTCAGAACCCACTCGCTCTGTATCACTCTCGCTCTCTGTCTCTCTCTCTCTCTCTCTCTTTCTGAACCAATGTTTGTGTGACTCTCTCTCTGTCTATGTGTAAATGAACCAGTGTTTCTGTGCGTCTTTCTCTCTCTCTCTGTATCTGTGTGAATGTTTACTCTGCACACTGACGTATGTATCTAATTTGTTTTGTGCGTTCTCTCTCTCTCTATTTGCTGTTTTCCTTCTCTCTTACACTCCTTACCTTGCTCCCTTCCTCACCATATATCATTATCTCTCTCTCTCGCTCTTTCTCTCTCTCTCTCTCTCTTTCTCTGTCCGTCTCTTTCTCCTCCTTCCCTCCCTCCCTCTATATCTCTCTCTCTATCTCTCCTCTCGGTGGAGAGCTATCAGTCGTGAGATGACCTTTTAAACATATGACCATATAGATATACATAGAGACTCTTGGCTGCGCGCACAATCGTATGTGCCGAGTCTCCAAGCACAGCTGGCAACATTCCACGGTATCTATCTCGATTCCAAGGCTACTGGATACCTCCTGCGCCAGTTGCGGGAATCATCATTTTGGAACTTCTTGTGTTCACCTGCCCTTTGCCTTGTGCCCGGAGATACCTCTACTCGGCATGTTGCAATACTCTCGTGACCCAGACCGGGAAACTGGAACGATTCACATGGTTATGTTCACGTGTGACACATCCGCAACCCACACGCTGGACATCAATTGAGCAACCTGGCGTGCCTGGCTTTCTAGAAGAATCCCAGCCGGGTCATGTGTATACAGCTTCCTGGTGCGAGCAGCAGGCTCATGTTAAAGCACTGATCCCATCCCGTTGGTTGGTGATAAACAGAAGCACGCACACACATCTGGGCGGCTGGAGAACGCTCGAAATTCGTGTGCAGCAGCCGCTCTCTAACGACCCGTGGCAATCGAATGCGTTCAGTGGTAGACGATGTTTGCTTTCAACGTGCGTGTGCAAAATAGCCTCGAATCCTCGAGCCGTGCGGCGAAAACATCGAGTGGCGAATCGCGAATCGCCACACCTCGGACGCATGGAGACAAGGACGCCACGGCACCCAACACGCGGGACGATTAGGGTTGCATACGCTCGAGAGGCAAACTCAGAGCAGGACGGACAATCTCAAATAACCACATCGCTCATCAATTTGATGTCCCTGACGACCTGCTCTAGTGCCACTGCTCCCACTAAGCCCATCACCATTCGTGTCGAAGTGGCGAAACCACGACGTCAACGATGACTCGCCCTGACAAGAAACAGCATGGATTATGTTTATACCGATTCTGGCACACCCTCTGCAAGATTTACCTTGCTCTGATTCCTCCGCGTAACCACTGCGAAACATCATTATTCGCCTGCCTCTTCACCGCGTCCTCCTTAACCTGCCCTGTCTTCATCCAGCACCTTTGCGGCACATCCCTTGCATGCAATACCGGCGCACGGAGGACTACGCAAGGCAAGTACCAGGCGAGAGGACGGAAACCATCGCAGATCGCAGACTAATTACACTTGCCGTCGACATTATTCGTCCTCCTCATGTTCTGTTCCCACAGATGCTCCTCTCTTTCAATTGATACATGCGCTTGGAAAGCTGGCCCCACTGTACCACACAGATCCAGCTCCGTGAATCTCGAACATAGCTGATATGTCGTTATGTCCATCCAGGCCCAAAGTATTGGAGCATCCGTGGGGGCTATGAACCCAAATTCGCAGGCGTACCTCGTCGCTTCTGGGGATTGGCCTTCGTCGAAGCCCCAGAGAATCGCTGGTCTCTCGAGGCCCGTATTGTGGCCGTCCGAAATTTTGCCCAACCATCCTGTGGTGTTGGGTCCGTGTTTTGAAGAGACAGCAACCCGCGTTCCCTCCTTCCTCCTCCCCCCCCGCATGGCGGTACCCACATGCGCTCGCGCTACAAATTTCGGCACACCCCTCACCCGTGTCGTGGCCCCATAGGGAATCCACCGAAGGCCCTTGTGGCGGTGTTCACATGCGTCCGCGCCACCCATTTCGGCACACCCCATGCGTTTCGTGGCCACACAGGGAGCTCCACAGAAGCCCCCAGTGGCGGTGCCTCATTGCGTCCGCGCCACATATTTCCGCACACCCCTCAAACGTTTCGTGGCCCCATAAGGAGTTCCGCCGAATCCCATGTGATAGGGAACACACTGTTCGAAATCATATTCGAGCAGATCGATGAGGCTCCGAAGCGGGCATGCAGCTGTGTGAATGCGTACCAAGAAACTACATGGCGACCTTGGCATTACTAATCAATACGTTCGCCAACAACATGAATACACTGTACAACGTGTTTAGAATATGCCAAACTGCAAGGCCACAGCCGAACTACAACCATACACGCACTGAACGCGCCACCGTCCATGGGGAGGGGGGGTGACGGGTTGCACGCCAGCCTTGTTGTTTTCTCCTAAAGCCGCGAACGTTTTGGATTGAAGTATTTCTGCGCTGAGAAGGCATCGACTGTAAACTACCCTTTCATGACGGCAAAGTCCAAGGCTGCTCACCACCGCACACTGTTGCCAATGATCGCGCATCTTCCTAACGAATACGAGGCTGGCGGAGACGCTGCGTATGCGCATTTTTGCAACATGCGTACTCTGTGCCTTCGCATTTGATCAACTGCTATGGTGTCATCGAGCGAGCTCGAAGAACTAAAAGAATTCATCGGGAACGTGCCGGTGCTCTACGGAGCTCTGGCCGCCGAAGCTCCTCGACTCAAGGAGGCAAAATGGCCGGCCGTTAGCAGGCATCATTTCCTTCTTTTGGTGTCCGTTCCATGGGAGCCTGCGTGGCCCCAGGCGCTGTCCGATTTGGGCCTGATTTGGGCCAGATTCGGAACACATTTGGACCAGATTTGGACCAGATTTGGATTGGATTCGCGGAAACTAGAAGAACGAGGAGGAGGAGGAGGGGGAACAGGAGGGGAGAGGAGGACCAGGAGGATGGGCCAAATGCGGTCCCTACGCGGTCCAAATGCAGGAAAAGCTGATTCCAGCGTCGCCGCCCCAGGCTCCCATGC